TTCACAGAAACAGAAAATTGTACAAGTGCTCTTTCTAAAGAGGGACCAGGCTTGAATGGGTTCATAAAGGAATTCTACCAAGCTTAAAAAAAATTCTAATGTAACTTACACTATTACAGGATATAACACAAGTAAAGTCTCCGAATTATTTTTATAAAGTGAGCATAACTTTGATGCCAAAACTTAACAAAAACTGGGGAGGGAGGAGAAAAAACTCCAGATCACTTCCACTACTACAATGCAAAAATGTTAAATAAAATGTCAGCAAAGAGATCCACCATCACACCTTATACATCATGACCACATGGGGTTTATTCCAGGAATGCAAGAGTCAATAACCTAATATTAATATGGTATTATTAGAGTTCATGGAAAGCATCACATGATCACCTCCTTAGATATGAAAAAGGCATGTAACAAAACCCAATACCCATTCAAGTTAAAATTCAGAAAAAGAAACTGAAAGATACTTAACATGATAAAATACAAATATTTCAGCTCCAAAGCCAGGATCATGCTCACTGGGGAAACTCTAGAGCTCTCCTGATAAAATTAAGAAAACAAAAGAACACCCAGCACTCCCACTACTTACCAGAGCACTGCAATATTCTACAAGAGAAAGGGGTTCCAACCAATAATTAGAAAGGAACAGGTAACAATACCTCCCTTTGCAGGTATTATCGTTATCCAGCTGGAATACCCAAAGACGAAAATTAAAACTACTACAAATAATGAGATAATTTAGTAATGTAGCAGACTATACAACTGACATACAGGAAACAAAAATAGGCATTTTAGGGACACGTGGGTACAGGTACAGCCCTTTAGGCAATATCCTGTTAAAGATGACAAAAGGAGGGAGACAAAGAGGAGATGGTGCAGAAAGGACAGGTTGGGCGGAGGGGGGGGGGACTCCAGGATGGATGGGAGGGTGACAAGATCATCCTCACCACCACTCAGAGTGGGGTGACCTACATGCGTGCTTCCCGATCCAATGCCGGGAGCAGTACACACGGTCCCACCTACAGAGGATTCGTGCCCAAGGAATGAAAACCGAGTCTCACCAAGTCTCTCAGTTTAACTGCGGGTTTACAGGAAACAGGAGGAGGAGAAGCATGGAAAGGATATTCTGGGAGGCCATGAACCAAGTCCAGAAGGTCTTACCTGCACAGATTTTAAGAGACCTGAGACACGTCAACCACGCGCTCTCTGTACATTGATTTAAACAACTGTGGGAAGACCCTGGAGATCGGTGAGGACATCTGAAAACCGCTTGGGTATGGGAGGGTACGAAGGAACTAGTTAATTTTGGCAGGTGTGATAATGGCGTGGTGGCTCTCAGGAGCAAAGTCTCGTGTGTAAAGTATGTAAGAAGATGCTTGTGGGTGAAATCCTCCAATATTTAAAATACTTCAGCAAAACAAGCAAACAAGTGGAAGTCAACGGATTGCATTCTGTAAGAGGGGGAAGCAGCAGGACGGTCACATTGTTGAAAACCACAGGGGCGGCTCCGTCCCAACAGACGTATGTTTGCACCCTGGGTTCATCTTAGCTTCAGGAATGTTGTTCCTCTGACTGTACCCCCTCCCCACCCCTGTTCTACCTCACCGGTGTGCCCCCTTCTGGGCACATACCCAGCCAGGCTCATTACCCCCAACTCAACCCACCTGGAAAGCCAGGCTTCTCTGAGCCCCACAAGGAAGCTCAGAGTGAGGTCATCCCTCCTTCCCTCCCCTTCTCTCGGCACCTACCTGTCTTGGCATTGGAACTTTCCCTGACGACATCACTATGTCCAGGTGACCAGATCCCAAGCTCGGTCACTCCTCTTTACTCAGTCCTAACAGTATGTGTTCTTCTGTCCCCTTTTTAAAATTTTTTATTTTTTTTTATAAACATATAATGTATTATTAGCCCCAGGGGTACAGGTCTGTGAATTGCCAGGTTTACACGCTTCACAGCACTCACCATAGCACATACCTTCCCCAAAGTCCATAACCCAACCACCCTCTCCCTACCCCCCTCCCCCGGCAACCCTCAGTTTTGTGAGATTAAGAGTCTCTCATGGTTTGTCTCCCTCCCAATCCCATCGTTTCATTTATTCTTTTCCTACCCCCCAAACCCTCCATGCTGCCTCTCAAATTCTTCGTATCAGTGAGATTATGTAATTGTCTTTCTCTGATTGACTTATTCCACTAAGCGTAACACCCTCTAGTTCCATCCACGTCATCGCAAATGTCAAGATTTCATTTCTTTTGATGGCTGCATAGTATTCTACTGTATATACACCACTTCTTATCCATTCATCTGTTGATGGACATCTAGGTTCTTTCCATAGTTTCCGCTGTCCCCTTCTTAAAACACGTTCTTTTCTTGCTTCCAAAGACACCCCCACCTCTGCCTAAGTGACCTCAGTCGGGCCCTGGCTTTAATGATCATGTGTATTTTTTTAATGCCTCCTACATTTATTGTTTCTGTCCGACCTGTGTTCTGGACTCTGTGATCAACAGCCCATCCTCCAGCTGAAGGAATCCCAGGCCTCTGGAACTCACCACCACAGCTAAACTTGAACTCTGCTACTTCCCCTTTGCCCAAGTCTCCTCCCCGCCTGAGTGCCAGCATCACCGTCCCCCCAGCTGTTGCCACCACAGCCCCCTCTCTTGCTGTGGAACACGGAGATTCCGCGTCGTATTTAGAGCTAATTCACTGGGGCCACTTACTCGTATAAAACGGCCTTTCTTTCAATGGGCAGAAATCTTTTTGCCATTTCTAATTTCCACAGCAAATTAAACATTCACTGTGCCTGCCCCTTCCTCTCCCTGGGACTCTCTTCCCTGCTTTAAGAATCTAGCTCGCTCTCGTTTTCGAGGTCCAATCTTGAGGCCACCTCGAGAGACGGGAATTTCTTCCCCATCCAACCTAACTCACCCGCAGATGACCCTGTTCTGTCTCCTCTGCAGGACGGTGCACACCCCAAGCTGCTCTCTGGGCTTCTTCCAGAACGGGAGCTGTGTGAGAGCAAGACCTGGGCTCTGGCCACTGCCGTCCCTGGAACACACAGCAGAGTTCTCGGTGCTGGGCATACCCTTCCCAGGCAAGCGTTTGCAACACGAACAGTCTGTCTGCTTGGGCTGCGGGAACAAAATACCAGACACTCAGTGGCTTAAACAACATTTATTTCTGAAGGTTCTGGAGGCTGGGACGTCCAACATCAAGGTGCCAGCACACCAGGCGTCTGGTCAGGAGCTTCTTCCTGGCCTCTAGACTGCCACTGCCGTCTTCTCCGAGTGGTCACTTGGCCTTGCCTGGAGGCATGCCGTGGAGAGTGCGCTCTCCATCCTCCTCTTATCAGGGCACTAATCCCATCACAGGGTCCCACCCTCAAGACCCCAGCTAACCCAAACCACTTCCCAAAGGCCCCACCTGGAGCCTGGAGGTTAGGGCATCAACATATGAATGTGGGGGCTGGGACACCGCCCAAAACAAGAAATCTTCCTCTTCCTGGGCCAGTTCCTAATATAAGGCAAATGGCAGATTTCTGACATTTCTCCGGTTCTGAAGTCCTGATGCCCTACTGAGAAGGGTCTCTTACACTGGCAAGCCCTGTGCAAGGCAATGGGGTTAAAATGAGAAGAGACACAGACCCTGTCACATGTGGGGCCCCATGTCTCTGTCCGGGCAGGAAATACAAAATAGGAGAAGCTCTACTTTTCTTAGAGAATTCTCTTACTAGATACTTAGCAATAAGCATATCATTCCCCCCATGTCTCTCTGTGATGAGTAAGCCACGGACTGCGGTCACACACAAGTAGCGAGGACCAGCGTGCCACACAGGATGGATCCCGTCTCCTGGAAGCCACCCCCTGGTAGTACCCGAGGCCCTGCTGACTCTCTCAGGCGCAGGGAGGGGAAGCTCATCTTGGGAAGGAAGTCGGGGGGACAGAGTGCAGGGTGGGCTGGGCTGTGACTGCAGGTCAGGAAAGGGCAGGGAAGGGGCTCTGGCTGAGGTTTCGATAGCTGGGGACAGTTGCAGGTGGGGAGAGGGACTCCTGTGGGCACTGGAACGAGGCATGTTAAAGACAGTGCCTGGTGAGTGCCACTGCAGGGAGGAGGACCACACAGAGGGACCTGGAACACGAGGAGTTGCTGACAAAGACTTTGAGGTCATGGACTCCAACGGTTCTCAAATCGCAACTCCAAGAACACTGGTGTTCTGAGTATTTGGATCACATGCAAGGAAAAAAAAAAGAGGGAAGAAAAGGAAGGAGGGAGGGAGGGAAGGAGAGGGGATAGAGATTTCCAGCCTTCTGACCCAAGTAAAATACACTATTCTTTCCCTTTCCACATTTCTGATTTGGTGACGGACTGCCTGTTCCTGCTTCTCCCCACTGGAATCCGGGTCACGGACAGAAACTAGTTCAAGCACAGAGGCAGATGAACTGTTTTACATTTAATCAATCAATCACAGTGTTCACATCACATACAACTTCATAATACCAAGGTGTATGGGCACTGTTCAAAAGAAGGGGCCCCTCCAACATGTGTCCCTCTTCGTAGGGGCCACCCGGGGGCGCCTGCCGTGCTCGCTTGGCCTCCCGCTGGGTCGCCAGCTGTGGGCTGTGGAGCGGGGGCTCCTCTCGGGCCTTCCTGTGAACTGTATCACAGCCTACCTGGGCAGCGGGATACGGTCAAGTGCAGACATGTGCCACGTGCCACAGCTGGTTCGGGGGTGCCAAGGCCTGGCCCCGGCTCAAGTGCATGGGTCCCATTCCCTTCCAGCCAGAGGCACACGGAGCTGAGGGAACAGAGTGAGAAGCAGGCACGGGCCACAGTGCAGGACACTAGTTACTGGGCAGCAGAACGGAGACAGAGGCCGAACACCACCAGGGGACAGAGACAACCGGACAGCAGCTAGCACTGGGGCAGCTGGACGCAGCCATACCAGCCTGCCTCCTCTCTGGTACCAGTCTGCTGGGGGAGGGCGAGCGGGCCGCAGGCAGGCCCTACAGCCCCTGGGGAGGGCTGTCCTTGGCCCCTTGCTCCCTCCTGGACTGGGGAGTGGCAGCACAGAACACGCAGGCCCGGGAAACGCAGGTGATCGCAAGCATGAACGTCCCCACGAAGGCCAGCAGCACTCGGACTCCGGGGACAGGAGGAGACAGAAGCTGTGCCACCTGGGCCCAGAGGCCAAGAGAAGGACAAGAGAAGACAGTCAAAGGCAAAGGGAAGGATGGGGCAGAGGCATGGGGTGGGGCTGGAGGATGGGCAGAAGCAGAGCTGCTGGGTCGAGTCTGGGGGGCGGTTGGAAGGGATTACTGTGGCGGCGCCCCCTCCACCCCCCAGCTGGGCCTTGCATTGGAGCCAGGGCAGATTAGAAACAGAGTGAGTCTGGGGTCACCGGGGTCTGGAGCCTGCTTTGTGACCTGCACGAGTCACCATGCTTCCTGGAAGCTCATTTTTGTAATCCAGGAAAACAAAATCATTTCTAGCTCAGTTGAGGTGCTGATTGAGTGGCAGTGCCCATAGGCTGCACTGTACAGATGTGCGCCCCTACCAGGAAGGGGGCTCCCCTCCAGATTATTAGCTGCCAAGGTGCTAAAGGGAGGGCCTGGATCCCCAGCCCCTGAGACCCTCAGAAGGGAGTGCCATCTGGGCTGAAGTCAACACTGACTTCATGGGAGAAGGGCGTTCCTTCTTCCTGCCCTGGTACTCTGGACAGACAGGTACTGGGCCCCAAATGTACTCACCTGGTCACTCACCCTCTGGGTCTGGCAGCTGCTCCAGGAGCATGTCCTCCTTGCCACTGAACTGCACGAGAGAGGGGGTAAGAGGCCGGGACTGGAGGAAGTCTCCTGTCCTTCCATCCCTGGCTCCTGCCCAGCAGAGAGGCCCCCCACCCTGGGCCAAGGGAGGTTCCGTTAGACTCAGAGGGGCCCAGGCTGTCCCTTCTGACCTCTCCAATGCAGTCCGTTAAGAACCTGCAGTGCAAACTCCTTCCCTTGTTTTGCTTTGGTGCAGAGATAGGGAAATGGATGAAGCTCAGCGGCCAGACCTGGGGGCGGCGGGGCAAGGCCACCCAGGAGGACCAACAGCTCCCAGGAGAAGGACACACTTGCCTCGATGTGGTACACTATGCGCCAGAAACTCGAGTCTGAGCCTCGGTATCTTCTTCCCGGGTAGAGCTGCCACATGGAAGGCAGAGGGCATGGGGCCAGCAGGCTGGGGCACACGGCCTCCCCCAGGGACACGTTCTCCTGACGCATGAGGACCTGGAGGCTACTCTCCGTCTGCAGGGAAGGGAAGACCAGGGCACGCCTTTAGGGCTCAGGATCCGCAGCATACAAAGCCCCCGAGTCCTTCCCGCCCTCCCCCAGCCTGCCCAACATCTGAAATGCTGGGGATCAGCCACCCCAGCAACGCGTCCTCCCTTAAGCCTTGCACGGCCCTCTCAGGGATGCTGGCGGGGCAGGATGACGGGCACTCACAGGTGTCTAGACACCCAGACAGGGCCACACTAGGCCCGCTGCTTCCTGACGGGCTTCAAGCTTGTTCTTACGCTTCCTCAGCTGTGGTTTCGTGCTGACGTCAGCTGCTCTGGGGTTTTGATTTTTCTTTATTCTGTCCTATAGCCCCTTTTATTTTAATTAATTTACTTATTTAACTTTTTTTTCAAGTACTCTCTATAACCCATGTGGGGCTTGAACTCACAACCCCAAGGTTTATTGATTTATTTAACTTTTTTTAAAGTAATCTCTATACCCAACGTGGGGCTTGAACCCATAACCCCAAGATCAAGAGTCGCATGCTCCACTGACGGAGCCAGCCAGGCACCCCCGAAGAGCCCCACTGGAACACGATCAGGTGAGAGACTACTTTTCCCCATCACTACCACCGCTCCTCTCCTGCAACAAGCTAACTGGCCACTTTCCTGGTCACGTGCCCCGCATCAGCTCTCGGCACAGCAGCAAAGGGTGTACATCTAAAAATCCCATCACTCCCCCGCCTGACACCCTCCAGGGGCTTCTCACGGCCGTCAGCAGGACTGAAATCTTTACCAGGTCCACAGCCCCACTAACGTGGGCTCCTGTCTCCCTCATCTTCCGGAGAGTCTGTCCTTCGCCCTCCACCACAAAGCCACAAAGGTCTCCTCGCCTTTTGGGGACACACCTCGTCCCCAGTAATCTCTTGCATCTGCGGTCCTCTGCCTGGAACATTCTCCCCTACATCTACGCAGGGCTCACACCCTTCTCGGAGACAGGTCTCTTGCACGAATATATGTTAGAGGGACACATTTCAGCAAAATCCAACTCTATGAGACACGCAGGAAGCATGCCCATCTAAAAGGGAGATTCATAACGGTTTCAAACAAAGTGATGGGCAAAAGCATGACACGTAAGTCCAAATTAATACTCTTGAGGGGTCTGGCCTACAGACCCCAGCCCACTCATTACTGCCTCTCATTCTGCACAACTTACCAGCAGCCTCAATTATTTTATCTCCCCCCCCCCCCCCCCCGGCCCCGCCCTGCCCCAAGTATCAGCTCACCAGTAATAGGATTTTATCACATTCACTGCAAACTCTCACAGCCTAGTATCGTGCTAGACATATAGACTAGGCCCTCATGCTGGTTCAATAAATGTTTTTTCCGGAGTGGAAATTATTTTTTAAATTTTCCATCTATGAAATACAGTGGAATTGTTAAGAAAGAATTCAGATCGTCCTGGGAGATGTAAGTCGAAACCGCCATTCTTGCCGCCTTCCTACATGGTTTTCTGTATCTTTCCACCACTTTCGGTCTCCTTGTTCACCTTTTTTTCTTATTGATTTAAGGTAACCTTTACATATGAAGAACACAGGTTCTTTAAATTACATGGGGGCGAATCCGGCCCCACAGCCCCTAGGGGGTTGTTTCCTGCATAATTTATGTTTAAGTGAAACGCACTACTTTGGGGTTCTGGTGTCACGTTTAGAAGATATTCGCCAATCCGAGATTTTTAAAACGATACTCACATAATTCTCTTCAGATACCTGACTTTATAAAGTATATATTAAAGTCGATGTTTAAAAGGACATAGACGGATACTTAGAAAGGAAATTCAACGCCAGCAAACATGGGGTGAAGAGCCCGGCACCCCGAGCCTATGCCCCGCCAGCAGGACGACTCTGGGCAGGTCTGCGGGCTGTGACCGTCCTCCCACCTGTGAAACAGGGACACGGTCACTACCGGTAACTCTGCGGGTTGCTGGTCTAGGACCTACACGTCCTCCTGGGGCTAACTTCATCTTGCTCTTAACCGGGCTGGTACCCCACCACCGCGTCCCGGGTGAAGCGCGCTCCCGCGAGGCCCAGCGGCGGCCCGACCCCCCGAAGTCCGCGGCAGGTCCCCGCACGTGGCGGCCGCGGACGCCCACGCCGCCCGCCCGGCCCGCCCCCGGGGCCGCCGTACCTCGATGGTAATGGGCAGCCAGGTGCGCTGGTTCTCGTCCACGTACACGGACCTCTCCCAGATCCACAGGTGGTCCGGGTGCAAGGCTGTGTGCGCCCTGAAGAACGGGAGCTCGCCCATGGCGCCCCGGGCCGCGCAGCCACCGCAGCTCCAGCCTCTGAAACCCAATCACTGGCGCGCGGGACGCCGGTCCGCGACACTTTATAGCGGGACGCGCGCGGGCGCCCCCCGGCGGCGGGGCGGGAGGAGGGCGGGCGCGAGGCAGGATCTGATCCGCGGCGGGTCTTCCGCGCTGGGACCCGGGTGGCATCTAGGAGAGCGGCCCTGGCCCCATAGCCTCGTGGCTTTCTCCAGCCTGGCCCCCAGCTACCCAGCCGACTCCCACTCTCCTCTGCTGGGGAGGCACCCCTGCCTGTGGCCTTTGGCCTTTCCTCTGCCGGGAGGTGCCGGCGTCCTCCTCTCCCTGGGATGCCCAGACCCCACTCTCCAAGTCAGCCTCTGTGTGCGGCTGGTCACGTGACACACAGCCCAGACCGGGACACCAGGCCTCTGCTGGGAACTCACAGTCGATGCCAGGCAACACAGAATCAGGACCCCCTCCCCGTCTTCTGGGACCAGAAGAGAACCACGCGAGCCTGAACCAAGCCTGGACTTTCCGAGGTTCGGGGCATCACCTTCAGCCCGTGTGCATGGGGTGTGAGAATCAGTTTCCTCGGCCAAGTGCAGCTCTTGGAGCTCCAGCACCCCCCCCCCTCCACATTTCACACGGCTTTGATGATGGTGTGGTCATCTAATGGCTATTGTGAAACCCGGTGGTGAAGAAACATGGGTTTTTCCTTTTATAGGCTTTGAATTCATTGGTGAACACATCCTTCAAAATGAATGCTTGAAAAGAATCCCTTCTCTCCACCCCAAGATCAATGGGATTGCGAAGTCTCTGGATTATATGATCAAACCCACTCTCTGTAAATTACAGCAAATAAGGAAAACAATTTCACTTCATTTTGTAGTACACCACATGCCCATTAAGGCAATTAAGAAAATAAAGTACAATGAGAAACATGTACACCGAGCTCCCTCCTCCTTGCTCAACCATCACCATTGGCAGCCGCTTGGGGTTTCCCCTTCCAGCTTTTTCCTGTCTCTCTGACCAGGCACTAAGAAAATACCTGGTGATCTTTTGCCAGATCACAAAAGTGAAAATGAACTTAACCCGGATCCCCTGACAGCAAAGGTCTGTATTTACTTCTCTGCCTATCCATACCACCTAATTCCCAAGAAAGTGCTGAGGTGGCCTACGGTAATACAGATATAATGGGATTTACCAGGAACACAAAATAGAAGACAAAAGCCAAGCCAAGTCGGGAGTGGAGGAGGCAGGCATGAGCCCAGCCAACCTCCTTCCCAGGACAGCCCCTGGTGATGGTAGTATTTAATTTTCAGACTTGTGGCATTCAGGCTGATTTCCCTGTGGATGGTTCTTAATTCCAGACCCAGATAGCCACTGGGAGCAAGATAATATGGTAATATGACTGCTGGGGAAGTCTCAGCCCAGCCCTGAGCTTTGAGGTCAAAAATGATGACAGATCCAGCTTAAACAGCGTGATGAGGGAAGGAGACACCTGTGAGCCAGTGTGGCCACTGACCCAGTCACATCAATGGTTCTAGGACCCAGAATGCTGCTGAAATGTCAATTTCATTTCTGCTCCTTCTGCTTTTCGAAGAAGCCACAAAAGGAACAAATAATGCAGCAAGAATCAGACTCCCTCGGCTGGGTATGCTTCTGAATGTTCTGGGAATATATATGATCCTTACACCGCTGACCCCCATTCAAAGAACAATACATGCCTTCCGCATCTCACGAGGTATCTTAATATTAAGCAAGAGTGTACGTTATTCTTGTGTAGGAGTGAGAAAATCATTTGAGAAGGGGTTTTAAAGCATGAAAAGTGGCATAAGATGACTGAGGAGTTCATGGGGCAGCTTCCGGGGGACACTTGAGCCTTCTTTATGGAAATCACATAAAAAAGGACGAGCTCCTGTACGATCTTAGAGACAGGTTAGCATCTTCAGCGTGTGACCTGCCCCATCTTAGGGCTTGAAGGTCAGCAGGCCTGCCTTTGGACAACTTTCTGACTCCTTTATTTGTCTACAAGCTCTCCGAGGATAACCAAGTGGTGTTTCATTTAAAAAGTAACATGAAGCACTTCTTTTGCTTCTTTTTTTTTTTTTTTTTTAAATATAGAATCCTTAACTGATGCTTTCATGTTCTGGCTTTGGATCCAGTTTCGACTCTGCCTCTATCATCCGTGAACATGGCAAATCCTTTGCTATCTTGGCCTCATTGGCCCACTTGTGTAATGAATGGGCCCCATTATGTGCCCTCGAAGCCTATTCTAACTCAACAGTCGCTGATCCTCTGATAAAGTTGTCTAGTGGGAGGATAAGAATGATTTGGGGCAGAGTGGTTCTGGATATGAAAGCCCACAGTGGAATATGTTTTTCAAGAGTGAGGAGGCCATCTTCTTGGTTGGGTCCCAAGGAAGAGCCTTGGGGGTGATTCACAACCATTAGTAGGGTCCAGAGCCTGTAGTAATTCTTTAAATTTTTTGAGGAAACACCTTACTGTTTTCTACAGTGGATGCCCTGGTTGCTTTCCCATCAATAGTACACAAGGGTTTTTTCTTTTTTTTCCTCCACATGCTTGCCAAGACTTGTTATTTCTTGTGCTTTTGACTTGAGCCATTCTGACAGGTATGAGATGCTGTCTCGTTGTGGTTTTGATTTGGATTTCCTTGATGATGAATGATGATGAACATCTTTTCATGTGTCTGTTGGCCATTGGGATGTCTTCTCTGGAGGAACATCTGTCCATGTCTTCTGCCCATATTTTAATTGGATTATTTGTTTCTTCTTTTTTTTTAATGTGTGTTGAGTTGTATTGGTCCTTTATGTATTTTGGATACCAATCTTTGATCGGATATGTCACTCGCAAATGTCTTCTCCCATTAGCAGGTTGTCTTTTGGTTTTGCTGACTGTTTTCTATGCTGTGCTAACTTTTAATTTTGATGTAGTCCCAATAGTTTATTTTCATTTTTGTTTCCCTTGCCTCAGGAGGCATACCTAGAAAATGTTGCAATGGCTAATATCAGAGAGATTACTGCCTATGCCCTCTTTTAGGATTTTTATGGTTTCAGGTCTTACACCCTAGTTTATTTTTGTAGATAGTGTGAGAAAGTGATCCTGTTTTTTTGTTTGTTTGTTTTGTTTTGTTTGCACATAGCTGTTCAGTTTTCCTGACATCTTTTGTTGAAGAGACTTTTTCCCATGGATAGTCTTGCCTCCTTTATAGAAGATTAATTGATCATATAATTGTGAGCTTATTTCTGGTTTTCCTAATCTGTTCTATTGATCTATGTGTCTATTTTTGTGCTTATACTGTACTGTTTTGATTAATATAGGTTTGTAGTATATCTTGAAATCTGGGATTGTGGTACTTCTAGTTTTCTTCTTTTTCAGGATTGCTTTGGCTATTTGGGGTCTTTTGTGGTTCCATACAAATCTTAGGATTGTTTGTTCTAGTTCTTTGAAAAGTCCGTTGGCATTTTGATAGGGATTGCATTAAATGTATAGATTGCTTTGGGTAGCATGGGTATTTTTTTTAAGATTTTATTTATTTATTTGACAGACAGAGATCACAACTGGGAAGAAAGGCAGACGGGGGGCGGCGGGGGAAGCAGGCTTCCTGCCGAGCAGAGAGCCTGATGCGGGGCTTTATCCCAGGACCCTGGGATCATGACCTGAGCCGAAGGCAGAGGCTTTAACCCACTGAGCCACCCAGGTGCCCCGAATGATATTTGTTAAATATTAAATGTGTTAAATATTAAATAAAAAATATTTGTTCTTCCAATACATGAGTGTAGAGTATGTTTCTGTTTGTGTCTTCTTCAATTTCTTTCATCAATCTTTTATAGTTTTCAGAGTAGGGATCTTTTACCTCCTTGGTTAAATTTATTTCTAGATATTTTATTATTTTTAGTGCAATAGTAAATGGGTCTGTTTTCTTAATTTCTCTTTTTGCTACTTCATTATTGGTGTATAAAAATGCAATGGATTTCTATATATTGATTTTGTATCCTGTGACCTTACTGAATTAATTTATCAGTTCTAGTAGATTTTTTTTTTGGTGGAATCTTTAGGGTTTTCTATATATAGTCTCATGCCATCTGCAAATAAAGTTTTACATCATCCTTACTAATTTGGATGCCTTTTATTTCTTTTTGTTGTCTGATTGCTGTGGCTAGGACTTCCAGTACTATGCTGAATAAAAGTGGTGACAGTGGACAACATGGTCTTATTCCTGACCTTAGTGGAAAAGCTTTTTTCACCATTGAACGTTAGCTATGGGTTTTTCATAGAAGGCCTTTATTATGCTGAGGTATATTCCTTCTAAACATACTTTGTTGAGGGTTTTTATCATGATTGTTGTACTTTGTTGCACGTTATCAAATGCTTTTTCTGCATCTATTGAAATGACCATATAATTCTTACCTTTATCTTGTTGATGTGATGTATCATGTTAATTGATTTGTCAATATTGAACCACACTTGCATCCCAAGAATAAATCCCATTTGATCATGGTTAATGATTGTTTTAAATGTATGGCTGGATTTAGTTTGCTAATATCAATTTTAGGATATTTTAAAAAGGATTCTGTCAATATCATGTGGAACTTATTTTTATACATGAAGTATACAAATATCATTATACTATATTCTAATATGTATTTTTATATACTACAGCATAATCTAGTTGTATGTTAATTTTTCCAAATATTTAGCCAATTTCCCAAACATTACTGAATAATTTTTCTTTTGACACAGGATTTCTGACACTACCAACATTGAATACCAAGTCCCATGTAGACATGGGTCTGATTCTGGGCTCTCTTCTGTTCCATTAGTCTGTTACTATGGTAAAACCACACTTAAAAGAGTTACGAATTTGAACTTGAAATACTTGGTGGAATAGGTCCTCCCTCTTTGTTCTTTTTCAAAATTGTACTTTTGCATCTCTGAATTTTTTTCTCACTACTTTTGAGATTTTTATTGGCATTTTGTTGAATTTGTATGGTTGAGGAAAACCTC